TTTTTTCTATGTATTTGTTTGTTTGTTTCTTACATTGGAATGGTTACATTCTCCACGTCCTAAATGAAACAGGATTATGCTTGGTTATATTTGATCCTTTTTTTGTGCTTTATTCAGAATTTTCAATTCAATTTTGAAATTTTGAAATCAATTTCAGTTCAATTTTTGAAGCTCGTGTAAAGTAGACAATTTCAGCTTTAGCGCTATTCTCTGACATCAAAATTTATGGTTTCCACAAAAATGCAATCATCTAAATATTTAAAAATGAGATGAAACTGTAAGATGAAAGAGAAATCTGCACACCTGAGAGCCATTTCAACAGGAAGAGATTGTTAGAAAGAATGAGCACAATTAATAGATGAACAGAATTTAGATGGAGATATTTGGAGGAGTGAGCACAGATCTTCTTATTGAACTTTATTGAACTGCTGAAATCTTCATAAGTCAATGAGACCAGACTTATTGTAAAGGTGATGCCCAAACACAGTTGATGGTGAAGAGCCAGTGAAAGCAAACTCTGAAAATACAGAAAATATCTACAGCAATTCAAAACGTTCAAGCTATTTTCGGCTTTTATAGATAGTTGATACTTTATAAATGAGATACTGAGGCCTGTAGGTGCATCCTGAAAAGAAGTTACAGACCTGGACTCTGTTTAGTATTTCTTAACAGTACATGAGATGTGCAATCAGAGAAAAAATGTAAACAGTAACTGTTTCAGGATGATCATAACTGAAGCATTTCCAGTAAGTAGCAGCTCTGTTTTATTTTACAGAAAGCTGATACTTCTTTATTTACATGAGGTTAGAAATGAGTTGCGGAAACTTGCAGGTGCATCCTGGGAGGGAGAAACAGAAAAGGGTCGAGGTGATGCTTCACTAACTGAGTGTGAAGGGTTTTTTTTGTAACTAGCAAGCCTGCAACCAGCTTTTTAGACAAGTGAAACATGTGCTTCATGTACAACAAATTATGAAATGATGCTCTCTAGTGTACAGATATTATTATAATATTTATTCATTCAATAATTGTGAGAATGGCTGAAAGACTTTCAAGAGTGATGTGATTACAGTTAAACTCCACTCCACAAAATCTAAGTAATTCCTTTTTCTAAAATGTCAATTGTTTCTTTGTAAGAAGCAAACAGCAAACAAGCACCCAAAATAAGTAAAATAAATAAATAAATGAATGAATGAATAAATTAATTAATAATTCAAAACCTGCCCTCAGATTTGATTTATTCAGATGCATGCCTCTGTCCATCAGTAAGTGTGTAGCTTGTATCATTCGCCATCCCTCCTTAAGCTTCCAAATTATTGCAGAGATGAATGGACAGAAGAGGTTTCTGCAGAAGACCGGTCACATGTCACAGCAAAATAAAGATATGAAAAGTATTTTCTCATTAAACTTTGCAATAACTC